CGAAATATACACACATTACACATAATTTAAGTTTAGAAAAAACACCTCGACATTAGGTTTGACAATAAGGATTTCCAGCTTTTTTGCCCCTTGCTTCACCGATGAGTCGTAGAAAGACGAAACAGCTGTATGATGCAAGGTGTATTTGTGTGTGTCATGTTCAACTTTTATGTAAGTTACATATTATATATAAGCAACTATATGTATACTGTAATAGGATGATTGTTATCTGAATTCAAAGAACATTCATACTGTAGATTCAAACTTAATGCACTAGACACCTAGTGACCTTTGTTACAACTTAATGTACTAGACACCTAGTGACCATTGTTACAACTTAATGTACTAGACACCTAGTGACCTTTGTTACAACTTAATCCCCGCGTACGTCAATATTCTGTTGTCTAGGGTTTTTAAGACTGTATTTAATCAATCGATATAAACTTGCCTATTTATCCTGAACTAATCACGTCCTTATACGTAGTTAAATTAGTTGCGTCATGTGTGAACGTAATATAAGCTTTCTTATATGAGGTGTTCAGAGTATCTTCCCTACTTGTTTTTAAAATGCTCTTATAATTAGTTCAAATTTCGTTTTTATTATTTCTATACCGAACAAAAGTATGCATTTTCTTTTCATAGAACATCCCTGACACACACACACAAGTATATACAAAACTCCATGTCCTCCATGATCGACCGTTCGTGTAACCACATCGTGTTGTTCCGATTTATATCAGGCGATACTTAACCTTTTGACCTGATTAAGTATATGTGTCAATTTCTCATAAAATTATACATACAAATAGGATCATAACGCATGTGATACATCCATGTACATAGTAATACCATTTAAGGATCCTTGTCTCATTGCACTACAATTTTCTCCTATACACGGTAACCTCCCCTTAACTACCATTTTTATATAACTTTTGTACACTTCCGTTGATTCGGTAACTCAATCAGTAATATCAATATCATAACAGGCCAATGTTGGAATCCCGGTAGCCCTCTATTTTACACACGGACCAAGTTTGTAGATTATAACATTTTTATTTCATATTAATTGTTTTAAAAAAGGTCCCGCAGGGTATGTTGTTTTTCAAAATGATCTACAATTCTCTCATGATTTTGGGCGTGCGTTTAAAATCAGTTTGAAATACATGTACGTCAAGCAATTGTAAATACAAAGTTGATAATACATTTGTCGGTATTTGAGGTACGCTGTTGTCATGCGAGGAGTCTGTTGTTATCGATAGACGGAGGACAGGCCTGGAGTGCGCTGTCCTCGGTAGGCTGGGTTTTGTCTAGTATTGTTTAACGTCCTATTAACAGCTATGGTCATTGTGTGTATTGTGAGGCTGCAATATGTTCGTGTTTGTCTGATGCCGACTTTATAGTGCTACCTCACTGAAACATACTGTTTAAAATACCCAGCAGGACACCCCACCCGGTCACATTATACTGACAACGAGCGAACCAGTCGTCCTACGCCTAAATTGCTGAGCGTTAAGCAGGAGTAGAAACTACATTTTTTACAAACTCTGGTATGTCTCGGCCATGGTACAGAACCCAAAGCCTTCCTTTTATCCGTAGAATGTTTTGTTCTCGGTAGGCTGCTGCCAGGTATGGGTTGTGGTGTTTTTGGTAGGCTGTTGTCAGTCGTGGAGTGTGATGTCATTGGTAGGTTATTGTCAGGTGTGGACTGAGGTGTCACCGGAAGGCTGTTGTCAGGCGTGGAGCGAGGTGTCTTTGGTAGGCCTTTATCAGGCATTGAGTGAGGTGTCCTTGCTTGGCTGTTTTCAGGCTTGGAGTATATTGTCCTCGGTAAGCTGTTGTAAGGCATGGAGTTTGGTGTTTACGGTAGGCTATTTCCAGGCATTGAGTATGATGTCCTCGGTAGGTTGTTGTCAGGCGTGGAATGCCCTGTACTCGGAAACACAAAATACGGGAAGGACAAGAACTAATTACACATCAACATTCACAGTGATATCGGCAGAAACCGAGATACTTTTAAAGTCTTTAATATCCAACCACACAAAATATCATAAGAGAACCCATTCCCCATCCCAATTCAAAATAGTTTCAAGCATGCCAGATTCTGAAACCTGAATTTTTTAATAAAGCAACAGAGTATAAATTGCGTCGTTCATATGAATATAAATAACCCTAGCCAAATAGCCTGCCGAGTTATTTATAAAAATAATCGAGCTTCACCAAACGATGGCCTACCATCTGACTGCGTCATGTGCACGTTTTCCCGTTTTTCCAGCTATAACTTCACTAGTACTTGACACTAATTGATAAAGTCAAGTCTCCACCTCTGTCCGCTTACGCACAATGTCGTCGCACTCAGTTACAAAGTACATGTATAATGCTTTAGTCAACTGGAAACCTATTTTAAGGCACACTAGGATATTTCGGTTTTCTGAAATTATCGTTTTTATACCAACTTAATTACGATATAAACTTGGTAGTTACGACCATATCTAACAAATCATGGAATTGAGCGATACAGACCATAGGAACGCTGCTTTTTCGAAATTTTCAAGTCCGGAGATGACCATATCAGTATGTTGCTGACTATCCATTGGGTGTATTTTTTTACTGTTTGAATTTCCAGCTTATTGGTACATAATGTTAATATCTGTCAAACCAAAATAAAAGCAAAAGTAAATACAGCACAACCCTAAAATAGGAAGGACATCAAAGTAATAAGAAAGATTACAACAAGAACGGAGGAGATCTTCATATATATTTCGATACAAACTTAGATACAGTGAAAGTCTTCATTATCAATTTAGCAAAATTTCGCAGGAACTCCCGAAACATCCCTCACCTTCCAAATCAATCTCTCACACGGCAACAAATACAAATGATAAATAAAAGATCTATTTTTTTTATTTTAAACGGAATGAAAAGAAAAGACATGGTTAGTATAAAGACAAAAATTGTAAATGATTCTCTCGCCAAACTGCTTACCCATGGTACCAGATACAGCGACTGATAACAGCCAATCGAGGACACCCCACCTCACGCCTAATAACAGTCTATCGAGGACAACACACTCCACGCCTGATAAAAGCCTACCTAGGTTATCACACTCAACGCCTGACAACAGCGTACCGGCGACACAGCACTTCACGTCTAATAAAAGCCTACTGAGGACAACACGTTCAACGCCTGACAACAGAGTACCGAGGACAACTCATTTCACGCCTGACAATAGCGTACCGAGGACAACATACTCCACGCCTGATTACAGCCTACCGAGGACACAACACCCCACGCCCGACAACAGCGTACCGATGACACCTCACTCCATGCCTGATAACAGCCTACCGATGACAAAACACTCTACGACTGACAATATCCTACCGATGACAACACACTCCACAACTGACAACAGCCTACCGAGAACCCCTGACTCCACGCCCTACGAAAGTATATTGAGGACATCAGACTCCAATTCAGAAAACAGCTACTAACAAAGGACAACACACTCCACGCCGAAACAGCCTACCGCGGACACCAGACACCACGCCTGATAACAATTTGCCGGAGGCAACACAATCTAAGCCTGCTGTTAATCTAGCGAGGACACTAGACTCCACGCCCGCTGCAACCAACTGAGGGCACCACACTCCACGCCTGACGACAGCCTACCGGTGACACCACACTCGAAGCATGAAACATCTTATTGAGAACAACACAATCCACGCCAGACATAATCCTACCGTGGACACCACAATTAACGCATGACAACAACCTACCGAGGACAACACAATCAACGTCTGACAACAGTCTACGGAGGACAAAACACTCCATGCTTGACAGCAGCCTACCGATGACACCATACTCCAAGTTTCACAAGAGCCTACAGCGTACTGAAAATACCGATAAAAGCATTATCAATAAAAGTGTTTCGACTGAAAAAAGAGGGACTTGGCTGGGGCTCGAACCTTTGACTGATATATTATCGATATTACTGATCGAGTTACCTAATCAACGGAAGTGAGCTTGCCCAAATGTGCTACAGTTATAGCCGAATGGTACTTAAGGGGAGGTTACTGTGTATAGGAAAAAAATGGCAGTGCAGTGGGACAGGGATCCTTAAATGGTAGTTCTATGTACGTTAGTGTATCACGTGCGTTATGATCGTATCTGTATGTAAGATTTTATGAGTTATTGCCACATACACTTCATGCGGTCAAAAGGTTAATGGTTGCCTTCTATAAGTCGACAAAATAAATATAACATAAGGAAATAAAAACTGAAATGGAGTTGTGATGACACAAACGGCCGATCATGGAGGAGCTGAAATTTCTCATATCCTTTTGTATATGTGTAGGGAGAGTAGGTAAGTTTCATTTATATTATATATTTTTTGTTTTATTACTTTTAAAAACTAGTCAGACTTGACTTCTATTATTATCCAGAATGATTATACTTCCCGGCGTTATATAAGAATAGCAAAATGCCTTTCTGATGGTAGTAATATCAATGAAAGTCATGATGTGAGTTAATAGGAAAACTAATAGATCATCTAGAATACGCTATAAGGTACAGAAAGAACCTGCAATCACATAGATAATAGAAAAGCCGATAAAATGGATGCTTCATTATGCCGTGAAATGCAGTATATATTGAAATAAACGTTATATATTAAGTGACAATGACCGGCAGACGTAAACATTTAAATGTTGTTTCAAAACTTAACAGTGACATCACTGTTTGATCGCTTATACACCAAGTTGGTGTTACTACAATTGATAGGAAATAAGCATGCTGACGGAAACGGTTTATACGCGGAAAGCATGAAAACATTGCAGCCATAAAATGTGTTTAGACAACCAGATTAACGTGTAAGTGGGCTAGATTTTTACACTGTTCTGCACTATTATGTCATTAATGCATATAATGTTTGGAGAAATATATAAGTTAACTGCATCTAACCTGATATGATCGCTCTTGATTTAATTTCTCATAAATTGTTACAGGTTGTCAGATGACAACCGACACATGCACGGAAAGGCCAGGTGTGAAGTTAAATGCAACATCCATTGAAAAGTTCATAACTTCACCAGGATTTCCTGATAACTACACTGAGTAAATATGATGATTTACATCTTCGGGTGCAAGCACAAGATGACGAACATTTGATTTAAATATACATGCGTCATGATCCCGCTGAATTTTCCTTTTAAGTAACGATTAAAGGTCCCTTTGTTTATCAGTATGAGTGAAAAGTGGTGTGTGTGTTTGATTTTAATTTCAATTTGTTTTGGTCGCTGATATGCATTAACAGTATAGTTATCGTTGAATAACATTCATAAACAATTCTATAATATAGACTGGTATCTATATTATTTTTGTGACAAAAACATGATGACGCTATCTGAAATGTTTTATCATAAGTGTTATTTGAATTAAATTGTGATAGTTATATGAATCTTAATTTTTTGTAAGATATTCATCAGAATTGTTTTGTAAGCCATTTGTTTTATTCCTTCGCGATAAACATCTTGCTTTCTTTTCATGATAATAATATGATCTGCTTTTATTTGATAGGTTTCGAAATATTTTTGTATGACAGTGATCGGATTAGTTTTTGGAAGAACGTTACCTGAAGGATTTTGGCGGAAGTTATTTGATATTTTTTTGTGATATTCGTCATCTGAAATTGTTTTGTGTGACAGTATTATGAATCGATTTGTTTGTCTAATATCCTCATACCATTGTATTGAGTTATTCTATATGTTTTAGTATGGCAGGTGTCTGAAATATTTTGCATGATAACTATCAACAGCACTTTTTCCTAATATTCTGTTATGATAGTTAGGCAGATTATTGATTATTAACGCATTATCTTTTATGACTGTTATTTAAACTATGTTTATATGCCAGTTATCTGAACTGCTACTGGATCATTCGGAACAATGCTGTTTGCGGACTGATACGTATTGATGTCAAATTCATTGAATTTGAATGGAAGTTCGACAAACTTCGATTTCGATACGGTATGTATAATGCTATGTAGAATCTGTTAAAACAGCAATGTCGATTGATTAATCATTTAAATTAAAGCAGTTCTGATATTCCACTAAAAGTATGTGAAAAAAATAAAGATGTCCAATTACATTTTGGTACGTATATTAAAAAGAGTTCGTTCTTACAAATAGGTTAAAAGTGATTACAAAAACATTTTCAAAACATCAAATTAGTACGATTATTCAAAATTATCACTACGGTTTTTGTTATCAAGCGTGAAAGTATTGTCAAAATACAATATATTTATTAAAATGTGTACAAAATATGCATGTCTTTCCTCTATAATTTTAATGGTGCGCACCGAATACTTGTATACAGATAATAACATAGTTTATGTCATAGTCTCTCTTTAATGATTCTTTGTATATTCGGCAGGCATCACAGAAGTGAACGTCAACACTACATCGGAACATTTGCTACCAAACGAGAGTGTAACAATATGGTTTACATCTGATCGTTCTATCAGTGGTCGAGGTTTCAAGCTTTCATATTCTATCACAGGTAATCAGACATTTCAACATCAACATTGCTTGATCACATCATGAAATAGCAGGCACAGTATTTTGAACAGAGTCTATCATGTGCATGTATGAATGATAGAGAAATCCCGCCAAAGGTTTTAGAATTTGAGTCAAAACAGGACCTTTGCTAAGGGTCTGAGTCCAAATTGTAAACCCGAGGGTAGTTTCTATATCCCAACTTCCTACATAACAGTTTACTCTTTTCTTTCATCTCTTATCAGGATTTCGATGATATGCAGAAGGATACTTTTCTTATTCTCAATATTTTGTTCTTTTTACAAATTTTAACAGCTTTTCAGAGTTTAAAATTGATTTCTTGGTATCGTTGACGAACTATTAAATGTTGTATTTTCATTTTTCAGTATTACTTAATCTGGATTCATGTATTCGTGGAAGTTCGCTTTTATAATTATTCTCATTTAGTAATTAAAATTGTCAGGAATAAGTCAAAAATGGATATTTGATGTCACAAAAGTGGAGGAACACTACGTTTAACATAAGCGATTATATCAATCGTTATGAACATGAGGTTGTATATTTAGGCTGCACATGTGTGAGCACATCAGGTTTAGATGTCAAAGCTACGTACACAAGGAAGTACATCACCTCGCCTGGGTTCCCTCGTGCCTACCATCAGTGAGTATTATACCGGCTATGTGGCATGTTACATTACAAAACCTACTTTTGTTCCATATTATATAGCAACTGTGAATCAGGGAAGTATGATTATGTTTAATTTTACGGAAGCAAATCGTTCCACGTGTCGATGTCATACTGATTTTATTAAACGAGCACAATAATGTGATGTGACATCAGCCTTTTAGGCGAGCCTTGAATGTCATATGAAATTAATGAGCTCGTTTAAAAAAATCAATATGACATGGACATGAATGTAAATTTATGTTTAAGGTTGAACTGAAAGGTGTATGTCATATTAAATTATACAGCTCGTTTAATAAAATTAACATGATATGGACACAAATATAAGATTATATTCACCATATTATATCGATAAATGGAAAGAAAACTTTCAGATACACCTATAAGTAATGAACTGACTCTTTGTTCCGCGCAGTGCAAAGTCGTTCGAGATTTTTTATTTATTTTTGTAATAATGAAAGGTTCTGAATGAAATACAAATAATAATCATATAAACATTTCAAATTGTTTTATCTTAAGATACCAGTAAGTGTATCACGTAGTAAAGTTAATCAAAGAAGTACCTGTAGTTGCGTAGGAATATATTCCTACGGTTTTGACCAATTGCAGCAACTTTAAGTTTATTACAGGTGTGCCATATTTATAACATGGCCGTGTAACATTGTCAAATTGGTCAGTTATGTGAAGAATAACATATGTTGGAATTCTATTAATGCTGCAGCAACACCATGTGCAGATGGAATATCGCCACATCAACTGCCTGTACTCTGCTACGGTTAGAAACAATTGTTGTTGAGACTGAGGATCGTTTGGACACCCCTACTATAAAGTACGGTAATTATGATTAACATACGGCATCCTTTACAGGAACTGATCTGCTGTTTATAACATTTGTATACATAGTAACGAGTGTTAACGATTCGCTCACATGAGGATAAAGCCTGTCTTACAGTCACAACATGTACCGCCAACCGTATTGATTGGTTTGGTTTGGTTTGTATTGTTTAACGTTCTAACAACAGCTATGGTATTTAAGGATGGCTTCCCCTGTGCGAGATGCATGGATGTAGTGTTTGCGTGTGCTTTCGGAGGCTGCGGTATGTTGTTGTTTGTCTCCTTGTGATAGCGCGAAACTAATGTCGACTTTATAGTGCTACCTCACTGAAGCATACTGCCGAAGACATCCAGCAGGACACCTCGCAAGTTCACATTATACTGACAACGGGCGAACTAGTCGTCTCACTCGCAAAATGCTGATCGCTAAGCAGAAGTAGAAACTACCATTTTTAGAGACTTTGGTGTGTCTCGGTTAGGGGACAGAACCCAAAGCCTTCCTCACAGGGGCGAACGCTGAATCGGGCAGTACTAATAAAGATAACCCTTAGCTTCAAATAAAAAGGCCTGACTTCAAACCAATTCCAAAGTGAATTGTTTGACTGAGGACGGCTTTTTATACTTGGTAACCTTGTGAAGATGTATTTGCTGGACAACTGATTAATAGTACGTAACATATGCCTTCACGTGACCGTTGGATAGTTACCCGTTTTGTTGATGTAACTACATGGTCGGAGTGTTTTGAACACACTGGTCCGAGTGTACTTATCATTATGCTGACTTCGCGTATATGCATTTGGTAAATAGATTCGTTATATAAATTCACCGGAATTGTCTTTACTACAATACGTCCTGTTTTTACAAGGCCCCGAAACTTTCAGGAAATATCGTCATTATTCATTCTAATGAACCAAAACCTAATTTCTAAGTTGAATAAATAACATGGATGTTGTAAACTCATATAAAATGCATAAGATTTATATAACGTACATTGAACTAAATATGAAACGATCTTACAAAATACAGTTATCAGCAAAAACGTAAACTCTGAATACTGTAAAAACTGAGTAGATATTATTATATACTAACTAGGATTTTTTTTCGAAATTAGGGTTTGCCCAATCCAAGTTTTTTTCTTTTTTTTCTGTCGCTTTCCCATGACTTTCGAATTGATTTTACAAAGCATATTCTTGCAAGATCTTTTGTCTTTGTTTTTAATCAGACGGAGGACTCCCAGAAAAGATCTCAAACAAAACGTATTATATCCCTAGTAACAGGTCAGTCCTACAATTTAAAACGGATGGATCAGTATCAAAACGAGGATTCAACATGTCATACCAAGCTGAAGGTGAATAAGTACATTTGTATTCTTTAGAAAGTTTAATTTCAAAACACCAATACTTTTTACAAATAATGACAATATTCTGTACAGAAATATATTTGTTTTTTATTCCATCGATGCTCAATGTTTACATATATATTTATATATATAGACTGCTGAAATAAAAGCATTCAAATATGTTTCTATCAATTCAAAACACTTGATTCAATTCATATCATTGTCTCCTGAAATTTGATTTGCATATGATATATATATTTCACTATTTTAGATCTACACATAGCTAAGAACTCTTCAGTATTTGGATGCAAAGACTCCCAGCTTCTAGCAGAGGCGAGGTCAAAATACGTTTTCTCGTCGAACTACCCGGAAAACAGCATGTAGGCATTTATTCAAATCAAATATAATGTTTCACTTCTTATTGAGTATTCATTTAACATTAAATACTATATCACACTTCACAGAAATATCCCAGTTTTTGCTAGGAAGGAGATTAGGCTGTTTTACCAACCTTGGGAATGACACCTCATAAGCGCAGTTATTCTGAAAAACGTCATCATCGCGTCATCACTTTATGGACTGTAGCCTGCGTCATCGATTTTGGCAAGGTGCATTTGGTTCACCAACGTATTTTTTTCGTCGTTGGTGGAACGACACGTTAATTTTTCAATTTATAAAGTTTTATCTTTGAAAAGAAATGATGAAAAATAGGCGTGGAATTGTAATCAATGACACAGGAAATCACAAAAAAGTACTATTGTGTGCAATGTTAGTGAATAGGTAATTGTTTCANTTGTTTGTGGTAGTAGTATTCCTGCTATGTTTCATTTATCGATTGCAAAATACACTTTGATGATAGTATGATAAAGTATTTCGTGTTTAATTTGGACGCTATCTCATACCTCAACGCGACCATTACCGATCACGCTTTTATCCTTCCATACACTCCTAAGCGAGAAAAGGAGTGTTCGTCTTATTTCAATTATTATCAATAATTAGTTTAAAAAATAAGAATTGTTTGTTGATTTGCAACCATTTCGAATATAATGTTTTTCTTGGATTTTAACCTAAATGTCATTGTTGCCGATATTAAGTGCATATCATATAGTCCCAGATTCCTGACTAATAGTATTTTATTATAATAATTGTATCAGCTTTTAATTGACTCACAACTATTGTTGTCGAATTGTCACATCATGCATGTGAAATGGTGGTATAATCTATCATACATGCATTGGAATGGGGAAAACATGTTGTTAATAATGCTGTTTACATGATTACAGAAACGGAACACCAAAGCGATGATACTTTACTGATCGCTTTAGCCTCAACGATTTGTATTGTCTGCATTGTCACTGTCATTGTGCATATAGTAGTCCGTCTTTACTGCCGTAAAAGGTCCTCACAGACAAAACCGAGTAAGTTTAAGTATTGAGCCATTATCATGTTTTAAGACATGGTTTCCTTCCTAATTCTTTATCTCTTTCTGCTAAAACAGTACAATATGTTAAATTCGAGTTTAAAACGTTCTTTTTGACAGTAATATTGTTTCGATCATGATTTATTATTATAAACAATCGGTACCTTTCCTTTTGTTTGTGTTGTTAATTTCAAACAAAAGACAATATCAATTTCAATTAGATGCAAAGTATGATTTGTTGGAGGAATGTAAACAACTGAACGTACTGATTAGAATACATCTTAAATGTTGATAGCATAATATACTGTTACTAACATTCTGAAAAATAAAAAAGATCTACCAACAAAAGCAAAGTAGGCATAACTTGAGAGATATTCGAATAATGCACTCGTCCGTGATACGAAATACTTCATAATATAAAAGTTCGGTTGCATTCATATCACAAGTCTACCGAAAATCGAAAATAAATTGGATACTGAGGATTGCTGGGTAAATTTACAAACTGAACAATATTATCTACGTCTATTGTTTAAGATATCATAAAATGCTAGATGTGAAGGGTTGCACAAAATTAGAAAGCCATCCAATTCCATTATATCATGAGATTGCTTTTTGCCTACTGCAGAATTGATTTGTTTGTGTTTTTGTGTGTTAGTATAATGTGGGGACACCACAAAAACTGTTACAGATATGCCGTGCCGATAACACGTATATACATTGTATGCATATGTCTTAATTTCCTGGCTTCACTGCAGGTCGAAACCCCCTTCAGAATTGAGAATTTGGAACTGGGTCATGACGTTAAAGTGAAACAACACTTGAAAGTTTCCCCTTAATACACTCTGTGGACACGATATCCGCGTGACGTTGGGATCGCGATTACTAAAAGCCTTACGCTCATTTGCTAACAAGCAAACCTAAACTTTAAGTAAAGCGAATATATTTTTCGAAGGCTGCCTTGTCCAAGCTACATAAGCTTACGTCTCTTACAATACACGTTATATATTGTCTAAAACTACCTGAAACAAACATAACTTTGTTTCCGCAGGCGATACCGTCAAATTTCACAACGAAGGGAAAGTCAAAACAAAGCGACCGTAAGTACAATATGTATATATATACACTATGTGTGGTGTAAAAGTAATACGTATACTAGCATGGCTTATGTTTGTCAGCTCATTTCTTATATCGCCTTTTTTTAATTCGGCAAACTCACCTGGGCATCGTAATAGTGTTGTATTCTTTATATTATAGTACCACGTTATCTATCTATATATCTATAAATATCTAGAAATAATAAGATGACCCAAGCAAATTAAAAAGTCATACGATTTACTAACAACAAACGCTGTTTATCGTAACATATTTAGATACGTCGACATGGGCATACGAGATCACAGCGAGAATGGAAACCAACGAGAGACAAGTAGTACCGGTGACATCTATGAGGATGTAGGCAACGCTGAAGATCTTGGAGCTAACAAACAAGACTATTATTACATAGATACGCCTGGAGCAGAAAATGAACAACATAGTGACATGTATATTAATACTGATACCATCAATGTCGACCATGAACCAAGTGTTTCCATCCGTAATGATGGCGATGAAGATGTGTACGAAGAAATTGACATTCCGTCTACAAGTCGCCTTAACAGTTGAGAGGGGTGTTCAGTGTTGTTTTTAAAATATAGTGTATATAATTATGATTGCCATACTTCCTGTATGGAACCTATTACCATATAGCGAAAGGTTTAGGACCATTTTCCCATTGCACTGGAAATTTTCATGTATACAGTAGCATCCCCCTTGGTAACAATAAGAACGCTGCTGTTGATTGATTATATTTCTATTAAAAAGTCCAACACGGTGTATGTGTTGGTTTCTTAACAAAATAACTTCTAAAAGCTATAGGCACCTGGCACGGCATTCCCCCCGGTCACATTATACTGACAACGGGTGAACCGGTTACGCCTTCCTATTGATGCTTTATTGTAACTTTGTTGAAATGTCATATAACGCTATTTAAGCATTCCTGTATATAATATTACTTAAACGTGTCTTAATATTTGTTTCTCATGCTGTTGTCAGAAATGTTAAGAGAAAGATTCTTTCATAAAATAATTACATCTAGACAGTTGGTTTTCGCTTGATGTGACTAAATAGATTATCTTAAATGAAATGTTATTGAAAAATGATGATGTATGTAAGATTTTTTATTGAGCATTTAGATTGCATATGATTCATACAATATACTAATATGATTATATTTACAAAGTCGAAAAGTATTTAATGTTTTTGTATCTATTTCTTTTATCTCACCTAGTCCGAAGCAGCTGTGTAGAGCATCCTTGGACAACGGGTAGTCAAGTTTGGGTAAACAGAGAGTGTGCCCCCCCCACCCCCTTGGTGCAGAGGGGTTCAGCCCAATAGGGGAAATTCAGGTTTTTAACCAAATTAGGTCCAGAGCATCCTTTGGCATAGGGAATGTCAGGTTTATATAAGCAAAAGGTGTGGCTATGGGGAGGGGCAGCAGGGCGGGGCACAATACAGGAATTTGAGGTTTAAAAAAAACTCCATTTCATGGAAGCAGAAAGGAGGAACCTAATGTGGGACGGGTGTTGCTGAGAGACAGAGTCAAGATTTGGAAATAGTTGCAGTATTATATGTAATAAGAATAATGTTTATGGTAATACGGCATTGGTTACATGGAAAAAAAATAGTTGGTTGGCTCGCCCCTTTGGATCCTCTCATAACATGTGTAGATAGAAGTAGTTTATCCATAGTCTTTGATAATCAAATGCAATAATATGTTAAAGTATGTTTGTTTACTTTTCAAGGAACGAAAATGGAATAAGATATTTCAAAGTTTTCTTTTGCTTTTATACTTAGATATTTGTTTAGATATAGATATTTGTATAGATAAAAAGCATGTTTCGAATAAACACGAGTATTTGTTGTCTGTTTTTGCACAACCTACCAATAACAATGTCATTTGCAAATATCTATCGATATTCTAAAATCTTTACATATGACCTTCCCATTTTCCATTAACTCTATGAAAAGTCAACCTGTAGTTACTGGACAGTGGGTTTTCTATGGGTTCCGTGACGTCAGTGTTAGAAACCACTCCCTCCAATACGATAGCCGCCATCTTTTTGTTGTCGTTAGGTTGATAAAGTCGCATTTTGACGGGTTTTGCAGACAATGAAGACATCCAGATTAGGAGGGGAAGTTCTTACTTCTGTATAAAAAAAATCTGCACATATACCTAGAGCATTTAACTGCAATTTGACAGTTGCCGTCTGGTTACATTTTTTAATGGCGACCGTTGTTTGGAAAGTTGTCGGTCCGATAATGGCCGTCTGCGGCTGTTCAAAGAATTGGACCAGTGAGATTTTGCAACAGCAGGAAATATAAATTAAGCTCATCCGACTAATTAATAAAAGATAGGTCGTATGAGGAAATGTAAATATAACGATTGAACGTCTGTTAGATCGGACGTCATACTATTTATCTGTCACCCAGATTGCATTCATATTGGCTGTTACTGCAATATGACAGACGTTCAATCTCTAAATATAAGGCAAAAATATATGAAAATGTGTACATAATATTATCCAAATTGTTTTCAAATCTTCAAAAACAAATATTTTTGTATTGCCTGGCGCGATAACTCGTTTAACTTGAATATCTGTCCATAGAAAGTTTACGTCTGGAGACATCTTTAGTTGCTTGAAGCCCAATATAATTGGTAAATGCATAATAAGCTACCTATATAAAGCATTCATAATTGAAGAGTAAATTATTTTATATGTTCTAACGTTTGTTTTGTAAAGGTATTTAGGTATTGGATTTGTCCAACTTGACAAAGATATGTTGGTATGTGCGCGCCTATAGCCAGTGTACTGTTTTATCTTGGGATTTACTCAAACCAACAAGACGAAAACCAATAATAAAGCATGACTGCATGACACTGCTGATGTAAACCAATGACAGCCTAGGAAACTTGACAAACACATTTCATATTGACGTGTTAATTTAAGGAAAAGTGTCTTCAATAATTGTCTGGTTATAAAGCTACGCTATCAATTCAATTAACACGTGCTCAGCTGAAGTAAACTACTCTTTATATTTGCATTAGCAGTATTAATTTGGCAATTCAATTCGTCTGATCAGCAGACAAAACTTTCATTTTTAGACATATAACGTTTGATAGAATGCATAAAAGTGACAATCTGAATGTTGTTTAAGTGGTGGCTGACTGCCAACTTCAATGTTGATGACGTCACATACTTGTGTCTCGTTTATGGAAAATATGCATATCCCCGCCCACATCTATCGTTGTTGACGTCACAGAAACCTATTACGATATTTAGTAAGGTTATGATGTAATGGCTCCAGTTAACAGGACAATGGTTACCATGTGAATATCAGCGTAGACTTAATATATATAGAGAATACACGCACATACAAAATATTCGATTTTCAGTGTAAATATCACTGCTTTATGCATACTGCCATTATTTTGACATTGATCTGGAGAAAACATATGCTGATTCTTTTTTCCATGATTTTTTTTTACATTAATCTACTGTCTAGTAGTTTTAAAATGTTATTTGTCTCAATGATATCGTTTTGCTGGGTAGCAATACATGGTCATGGTTATATTTTCCTTTTGATTTCTCTTCTATTCATGACCGGACGTGTGTTTTCCTTGTTGAGTCCGTCCGCTGGGTAACTCTTTACATGGGCGTTCGATATTTCACCCCCCGTATTTTTGTTTGTCACTGTAAGATATGGTGTCCAAAATTTCAGGTATTTTTCGGCTTCATTGCCTACATATCCGCCAAGTTGTTATATATTCACTAACTTAACAAGAAATAAACTACGTGTCTACCTTGATAAAGATTATTGCTTAAACGATAATACCAATTAGGTTAATTGAAAACATTTGAAGGGAAGTATTGATAAGAATAAATAAAAATGACAAGTCTAACCTGATAAGACTGTAAACATGATGAATGCTAGAATATTTCAAATGCTTCTGAGTTTATTAATTTTACTCTCACTAGGAAGTTTCAAGAAAAAGGGAGAAATCTATAGTAAAATGCAGAAATAAGCGTCATCATACATTTTTGTTTTAAATATAATTAACTAATTGGCGTAACATACCTGGTATCTTGATCGATCGTCAGTATTATCATTGTCGTTGTCTACTGATAATAATCCTTCAATATACGAGGAAAGGCAAGATAGTCAAAAAAACACATAAATAAAAGATAGTCAACAAAACACATAAATAAAAGATAGTCAACAAAACACATAAATAAAAGATAGTCAACAAAACCCATAAATAACTGCAACGATTAGTGACATAAAATGACGCACGTTAAACGAGTCCTGACTGTGCCGACCAGGAACCATAATACTGTATTACTTATCTAGTCTTAATTGTTTGTTTGTTTGTTTGATTTTGTTTAACGTCCTATTAACAGCTAAGGTCATTTAAGGACGGCCTCCCCTATCTAGTCTTAAAAACTGTCCATTGTATTATATAACACTGTCTCCTTAAACGTATCACCTCGGGCTTTGCGCTTAAGTGATATGTAGATAATTACATTCCAAAAGGTAACAGTCAGTAGCAATGGCTGACATTGTTTGCAAGCCGTTTATAACATGGGAGAAAAGGCATTATACTTCATTTAAATCTGATAAAAATAGACACCTAAGTTAAAGCCTTAATATGAAAAGGCAAAGCCTTGAAAGAGCGTAGCTTTTGTTGATCTCTGATATATACTGATTCAGAATACTACTTTCAGAATGAGATAAGGTAACATTTATTTAAACTCGGCAAGTCGAGGAATAACAATAAAAAACAAGCTCTTATGAGATAAAGACCGACATTACAATGAGGGAGACCGGGGCAAGTTCGGCCTATTATTATTTAATTCCGTTTTGGGAAGTCCGTTTTTGAATATTATTGAACTTTTCCTGTCGGGACATCGGATGGCCGAACGGGCCCCGCCGTGGAGTAAGTTAGGACAACAATTCGGGTAAGTTCGGCCTCCTATGCAATCGGTTGTATTATGACGTTGTAGCGTGTACTTCACAAGCCCGTGAGAGTTGCAAGTTCTGGTTTCGGTACTTGTAAGTTGCACGAGGGAATCGCCAGTACTGTGAGAGTTGAAAGCACAGTGTATGTTGCTAGTCAACATAAATATGGACAAACTATCACTGGCACGGCTCTATAGGTGCTTAGTGTTTTTGTGATTTTACATTTTTACCCAATGATTGAGATATGAAAGGACCGTCATAATCGAGGGAGCGTTTACCGGCGGTTATTAGCCTACCGCACTCAGAATAACACGGCTGTGTGGCCCGTTGTCCACGAATTACATACAGATGAATGTTTTCGTAAATGGCATAAGTAATATCTGTTAATTAAAACAGGTATTTAAAGGTTCCAATCGACATAAGTTAATATACAGATCAAACTTGCCATGGACTTACGTACTGTAGTGTAAGAGAACAGGCGTTTGAATTAAATATTAACACCTAAGCTATTCTCTAAAATAGATAGGATATTATATATATATATTTTATTACCGATGCTATTAATTATTGACAGAATTTTAACCTCCAATGCTAAGATGAAGGAGATACCTGCTGTTTCATTACCCTTTGATAATATAGTACCAAAGTTAATGACACAAAACATGCAACGCCAGATTTTACCGCCAATTTTACGACTTGCCAGGGTGTCAGGGAACCTGTTCGCGTCCGAATTTATATTTCAATTAATTATTTATGTACAGCAATGCTTGATTTAGCTTTTATGGATGTCAGTACGTTACACGTTTGACCGTAAAAAGTAGCAATTCCATTTACAGACAGTCCGCATAACTAGAAGCTAGATCATGATTTTCTTTCTACCCTCTCAAAAGTAATATTCTCCTGTTAAATCATTTTTCATTTGAGTTTTCCTTGCCATTTTTTCATGTGAATGCCAAGCCAACTAAACTGTTAAGATCCTTAAAGTTGTAAAAATTGGCTTAAACAAAAATATCAGGAGTGGCCGAACTTGCCCAGGTCTTCCGTATGTAGATTTGTTGTATTATTGATAATAGGTAAAAATGTATTCATAATGCAAATTTTGCATCAATGACGCCATTTTCTTCCAGTCAAATCTAAAGTATATAATTGTTCTCGTGCGTAACGTATATGATGAATCAGGTGGCGCAGTGGATAGTGGATAATTAAATCCTATGCGTGCTTCCGTCAGGGCAAAAAAAGGATGACTGAAACAAGTTGGGGAAAAACTGTTTGATAATTGCTATAGAAAAAAGTGCATATTACATATTTGACGATTAGTCTAAATAAAAGTATAGATATTTTATTTAAAAAACGAAAACTAATAAAGAAAACCTTGTTATACTTTGATGTAACTGAGATTGTCGTTATATCGATATGTATTCTCAATTCCTGTTCCATCCTGAAACACCGGATTAAATTCAAATTTTGTAACTGTCAACGGGGTATGGCAGGTAATGATGCCAAATTAAATTAAACAGTTTCTATATGTAACTACATGTAGTTATAAATCGGCACACGTTGTGAAATAGTAATGCGTTGCTGACAAAGTGCGTTGAATTCGGATTGGTTGTCTGGAAAATTATTGTTGATTTGGACATCTTTTATGAGTGGTGATGCAAAAATAATTTTTGTTACGACTAATTGCGTTCATATTATCAACAAATGGAAATCAAAAGCTGATGAAAAAATAAAAGTACACGTAGACCTATTGGTTTAATGCGGGTCTTTTTGAAGATATCTATCTCCCGGTAGAAATATTATCAGGAGCTAGTTGATGACAAAAAGGATCTTCAGAAAATATCCGCATTTTTATTTGTGCCTGTGATAATACTGAAATAAA